CTCTCAGTGAAAACTAATCTTATATATAAAGCTGAATGTCTGTATGTCTGTCTGTATGTCTGTATGTCTGTCTGTCTGTATGTCTGTACGTATGTGCGGAACAGAAATTTTTATTTCTGAACCGATTCGGACCAAACTTGGCACACATATACTTCGGGGCAGGGAGCGTGTCATAGGCTACTTTTCGTTATCGATCGATCGATAACGAAAAGTGGACTATGACACGCTCCCTGCCCCGAAGTGTATGTGTGCAAAGTTTGGTCCCGGGCGGAGCCGGGTTTGCCATCTAGTATATACCATAAAATAGTTCTTCACTTAGACAATCAAAACTCTGGTGCTGCTTGTTGTGATTTGATTTTTGCTTTTTGCGACATCACAAAAATAAGAATTTGCCACGATTCCTACTATACGCATGTATGAAAAGCATCTAGTCTTGCTGCAGTTTCAGCAACAGGTGCGGATCATTATTTATACGGCCCAAAACGTTGAGAGTGAAACTCAAAAGTGTATAAAATAGTAGGAAAATGACTTCGATCTTAGGAAACAATGAAATATATAAACTTGACATGGTGTGCATGACAGTCTTCGAAGCATCTTGGCAAGCCGTTTCAGGCACTTTCTAGCATAGACACTTGAGGAGAAAATTTACAAAGACGCGGCTGTAACACCTCAACACCGCTGTAAAACATAAGAGATGTCCCTATTTTCAAGTGCATAAACCGCGGGGTGGTATTAGCTTACATCGACCAGCCCGAACACATCAAAGGACCTCGCAACCAAAGGATCCTACACATGGCTGCGTATTGCCTGAAAGAATCGTGCGGCATAAGTTTTGCTTCTAGACACACAATAAAGGGGCTGGCAGGTCGTTTGAAAATTTGAAAAAGTGCGGCTTATACAACTGAAAATAGGGTAATTCGAAGAAAACTCGGCGCTCATGATCTGCACTTGAAGATTTTGTTACAAATCACAGAACGCTCCTCAAGTTTGAATTTTTCCGGAGTGTGTCAAAGCTAGTCAAATATTTCTGAATAAATGTTCCTTCAAGAGGCCTTGCCTTTCCAAGATCTCGACAAAACGGAGAAATGAAGGTGTTTAATAGTACGATCTTGAAGCAAGTTTTATCGGTCTAGTTGCATTTGGTCGAAGTTCGTTCGCTGAAACAACATAAAACAGCATAAGCAACCTTCCTGGTCCTTTAAAGCAATCGCGAATCATTCTAGCAAAGCTTTAGGAAAAATAAGTAAATGTGAGAAAAGTAAACTGCCAAAGTTTCACGAACATCATCTGATAAGCGCGAATGTTATGTGAATCGAAGCGTATGTTTATATTCATCTCCCTCTGATACAACGTGCCACACAGTTTTAGAACCGTCGTATCGAAAACTCAAGTATGCAGAAGGCAGCAAAAACATCTCTCAGTTTTGAGGGTGAGGCGCCTTTCGATATGCAAGTTGCAGATTGATGAAGAAAACGAAAGATGATGCTTTAAGTTAGCCAGTTCTCCGTACAGATTTCTTACCGCGCAAGATGTCTAAGCCGAAAATTCAAGATATTTTCTACCCTATTCACAGGTGTGCAATGTGTTTGACGGGGCCAGCGCTGCGTAGTGCAGTCATGCATCTACGCGCGAGCGTTACCGTGCGCAGCGTGCAGGGGCCATGCTGCGCACAACATCGCGGGCCTTCTTTTATCTTTGTATCTCGTGATTTTTCCGTTTTTGCAGCAGTTGAATGTCATTTTTATTGCTTTTACGCTCATATGCGATATGTCTTGATATCGGATATGGTTTTTTTTTCGCAGCAAAGGAAGGAGGTGTCATTTTCTTGAGCGTTCTTCTTCATGACATCTTTCACTTTATCCAGGCCTTCTTCCAAAGACTGATTCCAGATTTCATGATTCATTATATCGACTTGTGTTCCAACGGAGGTAATCGTATATCATTTGGGTTTGACTGAACAGCGCCAACATGCTGTTCACTCAAACTGCTCTCTCGACCTACACGATACACGATTACAATACGATATAACCTTTAGCTGTAAAGAGGAAGAGCACAAGTCTTTTTCAAAATTCTCAAATAAATGATTAAATTACACTAAAAGACTTCAAACTCCATTTTGTCTTCCATTCGCGCGGTGATACTTTGAGAAATCTCAGAAAGAGCACCGAAGTAGAGTTTTAGACAGGAAAAGCTCGGAAATTTGTAAGCAGGACAGCGAATAGGTTGAGAAAAAAGAAGGGAGAGTATCTAGATCAAGGACCACACGGCTTTGCGCAGGGTCCCTGCACGCTGCAGTCCACAGTAGCGCTCGCGCGCAGGTGTGTGACTGCACTACGCGGCGCTGGCCCTGTCGAACGCATTGTACAAGAGCGAGCACAGCGTGGGCGCACGGCGCTGCGCATGCTGCTCACAAAGCGTTCGCTCTCTCGTAGAATTCTCTTAGTCAAAAACACCGTCCCAAGTTGAGATTGGTCAGATTTGGATGCTGTATAACAACGCGGCCCCAAATGGTAACGCTCAAGTCCCGCTGCAAATGGTGAATTTGAAGCGAATCGCTCCAGAAGGTAGAAGCGACGCAGGCGCACCGCCCATCAGTAGGTGGTCTGAAGATGATAATTCAAAAATTGGGCCTAAGGTAGATAGAAATGTCGAAAAGCTCTAATCATAACCAAGGACGATTTATGTCGATCCTAAATGTGTTAAACCCCAATTTCAGACTTTTTTCTTCTGAACACCCACTTTTTGGGAAGATTTTCTCTTTTCGAGATCCACCTTTTCCAGCGGAACTTGGGCGATTACCTAGTACAGGGCCCCGTCTCAGCATCAAAATCTCTCCAGTGTTATATTGGGAAGGTGACTTTGACGCGCCACATCGCGAAGGATCCCGCGGAATTCTTTGTCGTGTTCGCCTTTGAAGCAATCAGGAGAGGCTTGTACACCTGACTTCAGGGTAAGCCTATGCCGAAAATATTCAAAAAAATTCCAAACTCTCCGATGCTCATGCGCCATACCAACCCATGCGACATAAAGATGCCGGAAAATCTGAATGAGAACATTTATCCACTTACAGAAGTTCCCGAAACTTCCGACGCAGTATGTGCTTAGGATTACGCAAACACTCGCTGGCAAACCCGGATATGACATATATTCGAAATCAGCATGCTCACATACCCCCCTCACTGTGCCAACTAGCAACCGCGTAGCTCAAACTTTGCAAAAAATCGATATACCCTATTTTCCGGCGTATAAGCCGCAATTATTTTCGCCGCGCGCGGGCTGATGCGAGATGATGGTCGCGATGTGCGAAGCCGCGCAAGCAGCCAACCACCGCCTATTTTACCTAATAGCCTGATTGTAACTTTCTGCTTTTGCTCTTTCTTGTGGAAGCATCGAAAGCACCACTGAAACATCAACATCATCATCAACAATCATTAAAATCGAATAAAATAGCAGCAGCTTTAACCTCAGTAACATCTTTAAGAACAAAAGAAAACACGGTCAACTCCATTGCATCCTTGAGGAAAAAACACAACCCAAACACCTCAAAATCGTCCGAACCTCTGGAAAGAACAAAGAAATATCTGAAAATATGAACATGCGCAATGAAAGCAGTCACAAAATGCAGCGAGTTTTCAGTTTGTTAGATCAAAACTTTCTTTTCGAAGGCTCTTTCGCACCATTGTTCGCTGCGGCGGGTGCGGTTTATATAAGGTGCGGCTTATAAACCGGAAAATAGGGTAATCGGTATCGAGTGATAACGAAAATTAGCCTACGACACTCGCCAGCCCCAAGGTGTATGTGAGCAGTGCCAAGTTTGCTTCGCATCGGTTTAAAATGTATAAGTTTTCTATTCGGACAACACACACCACACACACACATCACACACCAAACAACATCATGCAATCACGAGGAAGGCATAGGGATAGTAGAGTCAGTGCAAACCTATATCAAGCAGAGATGACGCTCTGGTAAGTTTATTTGTAGAGAGCCGCTGAGTCATTAAAGGCAGTGGGTCGGCAGAATGAGACCCGTGGTAAAACAAGGCCGCAGGATAGGAGCCCCCATAACGGAACATATGGGCCAAAGTTAAATCTTTCTCTGCCACTTCTAACCCCCGAAGTTTCAAAGCGAAAGCAGCGCTCACCTTCTCTCCTCTCCGACCCCGCCCAGACGGGTGAACGCGAAGCCCGCTAGGCGAAGACGAGGAGTCGCTGCAGGACCCTTTGCTTATAGCATTGCGGTGGGCGCTCTGGCTGTGGAAGTCACTCGTCCATGAGGTGAGTGGGGTCGGAGAGGAGAGGAAATGAGCGCTGCTCTCGCATTGAAATTTCAGGGGTTAGAAGTGGCAGAGAAAGATCGGACTTTGACCGATAGGTTCCATATGGGGGCTGCTACCCTGTGACCTTGTTTTGTCACGGGTCTCATTCTGCCGATCTACTGCCTTTAATACACTCATCCAATGTGCCACAGAGAACTTTGAGTCCAAAAGGTTACATTACGGATTTTCAAAAAATGGTGAGACAACGTTTTCTGTTCGACCTGATATAATGCATGCGGTAAGAAAATATGTTGCGAAAGATTTTTTCACGGCCCTTTCTCGTAAAACAGGGATGCCAAAATATTCTGATGCTGTTGTTGGTAAACTTCAAGAATCACAACCCGGTATGCCGCTCCTTGGAAGACATGATTGCCTTCGTCGAATCCAATGTCAGATGAATGCTTCGCGCTCAAAACCTTCGATTCCATTTTTGAAGGACAAACATAAGAAATCAAAAAGCATCAAGATTTATAGATCTGACCAAAAGAGTATACTTTTGGTTTGCGGAAGCCAATTTCTGCTACAAAAAGACAGTACAGCATGTTCTAACACGACATAAGGCATTTGACACCTATTTCTCTTTTTGAAACAAGCTTGAAAGTCGTGGGCGGGTCTACTTTTTACAAAAGCTTCGCAAAGTTTAGTTTCTAAAGATATGGAGTTTTGTGGTTTTGCATATGTAGTGTAAACAAGCTTTATTGCGATCTCCATAGGCAGACATGTATAACATGTGAAATAACGTGTAATAATTAGAGCACACATTCAATTTAAACACACTAAGTGAATGAAGGAAAGCACCCTGACAAAGGGAGACATGTACTCGTTACGGTATGTAAAACTTGCAATCGTAACAATCAGCTCATAAGATGTATCGCACAAATGTAGGCACTACCCATCACTGAGCTTTTTTCAGGAATAATAATTATTTTCTAGGGAAGCGGTTCCTCTTTGCTCTCTGCCATCCCCAGCCGCCGAATGGTTGTGGTTGTCTCCAGCCTCCTCTTCCTCGTCCACCTCTTCGACCGCCACCCATGCCATCGCCCCACCCCATGCCCCAGCCGTCGTCAAAACCTCCAAAACCTCCAAAGCCTCCGAATTGATCAAACTGAGCACGGCTTGGCTGCTGCGGACGCCTCTGAGCCACTGGCGCTACCGATCCTGAAAAAATGTATCAAGCACTAGCTGGCTTACCCGGCTCCGCCGTATCCGGACCAAACTTGGCACACATACACTTCGGGCCCCGGCGGGTGTCACAGTCCACTTTTCGTTATCGATCGATGTCGATTTTACCGATTTTTATCGATTTTTTTGCAGAGTTCACCTACAGGGCTAGGAGTTGGCACAGGGGGAAGTGAGCATGGGGATTCCGAATACAATATTAGTTTTCAGAATTATCGATTACTTTTATTGATTTTATCGATTTTTTTGTAAAGTTTGACCTGCGGGGCTGGGAGTTTGCACAGGGGGTAATCGAGCATGCAGATTACGAACACAATATTAGTTTTCAAGATCGTCCATTACTTTTATCGATTTTATCAATTTTTTGAAAATTTGAGCTAGGGGGCTGGAATTTGGCACAGGGGTGTAATCGAGCATGCTGATCACCCCCCTTGGGGATGATCAGCATGCTCGATTACCCCCCTGTGCGAACTCCCAGCCCCGTAGCTCAAACTTTGCAAAAAAATCGATAAAATCGATAAAAGTAATCGATAATCCTGAAAACCAATATTGTATTCGGAATCCCCATGCTCGATTACCCCCCTGTGCCAACTCCCAGCCCCGTAGCTCAAACTTTGCAAAAAAATCGATAAAATCGATAAAAGTAATCGATAATCCTGAAAACCAATATTGTATTCGGAATCCCCATGCTCGATTACCCCCCTGTGCCAACTCCCAGCCCCGTAGCTCAAACTTTGCAAAAAAATCGATAAAATCGATAAAAGTAATCGATAATCCTGAAAACCAATATTGTATTCGGAATCCCCATGCTCGATTACCCCCCTGTGCCAACTCCCAGCCCCGTAGGTGAACTCAGCAAAAAAATCGATAAAAATCGATAAAATCGATATCGATCGATGACCAAAAGTAGCCTATGACACCCGCCGGGGCCCGTAGTGTATGTGTGCCAAGTTTGGTCCGGATCGGTTCAGAAATGGAATTTTCTATTCGGAACATACGTACAGACATACATACATACATACATACAAACAGACATTCAGCTTTATATATAAGATTAAAAAACTCGGTAAATCGGGATACGCCCACCTACTGCTCCTCTGCACATGTCTCGAAGATCCCACTGCGAGTAGCAAGTCCTGCAAGAAGCTCTGCAGTTTTCTGACATCCATGGATTCTTCTCGCATTCGCCCAATCTAGCCCAACCGGCACATTCACGATGATAATCGGAGCAAGCTGGAAATGCAGTCATTATGCAAGCGAACTGTTATCCGATCTTGCGGAATTCTCACATCCATAAACATAATCCTCCGGGTAACAGTGACCGCAAGACACCCTACAGTTGCAGGCCATCCATGGCGCAGATTTTCGGCATTCGCCGTATAAGGCCCAATGGGGACAACAAACGTTCTCGTTGTAGCATCCGTCCGAATTTTCGCATACGATCTGGTTGCTCAGCTGCCCTTGTTGCGTGGCTGAACACAAGAATATAGAAGAGTTTTGGTGATTCAGATCTAAACAGACACAAACAGACTTTGGCCACCTCTAGCGCCTGCTGAACATACAGCTGCCCTAGTCTGTCCACAACGATTACAAGATTTTCTGCAATTTTCTCCCATCCATTTGGGGTTCCTTGTGCATTCACCTTGTTGCGTCCATGATACACAGTTGGGATGACGATCAGAGCAATCTGAAAGATTCCGGTTATGGTCTTGTATATACAGAAACAATGAGTAATCGAATAGGCTTCTGCGAACAAAATGAAACTTTCGAATGAGGCTTTTGGAAGAAATAATGAAAAAATGATGAGAGACGCATATAGTGTTATCCAACCAATTTTGCACCCATAGTTGTTCGTGTGCCTTCACGTACCGACACGGAACTGACACGCGACCAACTATAAACGCAGAGGCGCGAAATCACTGCGGCGCCTCCAAAGGACTGTACATGGTGTTATGAGGATAACGTTCTTCACGAATATGAGAATCATTTGCGTCTGACGCTCCTCCCTTGTTCAAAATTACCCCATTTTATGAGAGGATTCAGTTTTCGTCTGAAAAATATAGTTGATTATTCCAGTTGAATGAAAGCACTGACCATCAGCAAGCCTATACTGAGGATGACAATGACCACAGCTTGCTTTGCACCATTCAGTCATGTAGGCAGCGTTCCGCGTGCATTCTCCATTAGCAGCCCATGGTCCACAGCACTCGTCTTCATTGTAGCAAGTCTCCTAAAGAAGCAAAGAAATTTGTTGCCCATCTTACAGAAGTCAGTCTACCTGCGTTGCCATAACAACAGGCGCCGTAGGTACGATTGGGGCAGGTTGAGGTACGTTTACTGGACCCTGCAACAGCAATTCAAAAGGTTTTTACAAAGTGGTATCATTTATTCAGAATTCTGAGAGGTTGTATCTGACCCCTCCGACGCAAAGTCCTCCTTGGCATTGACCCATGTAGCAAGGATTTTCTCCTTGAGCATATCCAGTGCACGGGGATCCCGGCTTGATTCGAGATACACATTTTGGTGCTCCATGGGTGAAATCGCAGAATAAGAATCTATAAGTGTGCATTCGGGACCAGCCGCTTCTCACTTTGGAATGTCTGGATCTCAATACAGTGTCACAAAAAATGTGAACACTGTTTGGTCATTAATAACTTCCTTGCTTTCATGTCTTTCGTCGAGCTTCAGGCACGTTTTTTAGAGCGAGGTTCAACTTAGATTTACGTATGGAGCAAATCAGTGTTCGCGCTTCGTTACTGTAGGATTACGGTAAGAAGTTCCAGCATGTGGAACTGTTGTGAAATATGCCATCCGAAATTTTTTTCAAAAAATCTGAAAAATGACGCACTAGGATTTTCGCGCATTTACGCTGATTCCGCTATACAACTTTCTACGAGTGCTTTCAGTTTTTTGACGGTGTAATCACATTTTTGACACATGCTGGGAAGTCAGTTATTACAGTTTACCTAGGATAACTTTGAAAAGAAGCACCACAGTAAAGTAGAAATTTCATCTTCGAAATCAGCGGCTTCCATTGCCATAGTACAAAAGATTTTGGCTTGTTTGGCTCTTTGGCTCTGGTTCGAGGCAGAAAATGGCCCTTAATGGCCTAAAATCCTTGTCGTAATTCCTACCGTAATCCTGCAGTAATGAAGAGCGAACGATGATTCGCTCCATACTGTAAGTCTAAGTTGGACCTCGCTCTACAAAATGGTACCTCAAGCTCGGCGAAAGACATGAAAACAAGGGAGTCATTAACGATCAAACAGTGTTCACATTTTTTTGGACACCCTGTATATCTGCTTCTGATTTTCTAGACAAATAGCTTTGTTCACGAAAGATGCACCAGATACTGGTGAGGTTGCATAAGGCTTCTCACCTTGATCCACAATCCGGTTGACCACGTGAGCATGTCGGTCGAGGTGCATACTGATAGAGGTTATCAGTATACTTGTTCGACAAACCATCGACATTCCTATAGATAGCCAAGTTGAGACGTTATGAGCGTATGAGTATATTTTTTACCTCATCGGTGAGAATGGTACCATTTGAGAGGCGGCAAAGTGTTGAGGTGCCGAGCAGTATTGGTTATCCGGAGGATAGAGCGTTTCACGATCAGCACGAGTCTGGGAAAAGAAAACATATAAGCGTGGATTTCATCATATTTATGGTACTGCGAATTTTTAGGGGGGAGAAGCCCACATCTCACCAAGGAAACTGTCGTTTCCTTTTTTTGTCTTAAGTGCTGCTTACCTGTCTTGCCTGTCTCCACATTTCCCAAATAAGGTCGATGAAACCGTGGTGTAGCCAGAATATCGGATCATTGGCTGAGGTGGCTATCTCGTACATATCGCCGCCGACGAAAATGTGTCCGTTTCCATGTGTGTATTCGAGGCAGTTGTACTCAGTTCGATATGGGCAGCCCTGAAATTTTCATTCTCAGCTGATTCGTAGCAGTCAAGTGTGACACATTTAGCTGCGTCTAGCTTGCCCATGTCAGGCGTGCTAGAGTCGTGCCAGCGCCGTGCCGAAACACTGATCGATTAACGGAGCGCTTCCACCTGGGTTCCGGCATACAGCTGGCACGACATTGGAACTCAGCTGCCACAGCTTTCGCGCACGGACGACTTTGTACCCGCCTTAACAACTCCCTCACCTGTCGAGGAGCAGTGTAAGACATGATTTGGTCAATTTGATTCTGACGCATAACAAAATCGATGTCGCTATCCTTCATCGTCTGTCCTTGTGCAGCCACAGCTCGTTTGACTTGCGCATTTCCCTGAACACAATCAGTTAAATTTATCATCACCTATACATGGCTTAATTTTACCTCCAATGTTCGGAAATTCATGTAGGGGCCGCTATTTAGGAAACCTGATGCGTCAGTTGTCCCTGTGAGTTCAGCTCTGGATAATGCCCGGCTTATGTGTACTATTTAACGTGAGAATATGCTCCCATGCTTACGAAAACATGACTGAATCCTGAGGTCGTGCAAGAGCACCGTCCATTGTAGAATCCCAGTATGGGAGATAAAGGCTTGGATCAACCTGTCGAAGCGCAAATTCGTACCTGAAATGAACAGATGGGAGCTGGAATGACCATTTTGCGTCTGTGAGAACTTTTACATATTCGAAGTCTGACCCGAAAATAGATCTATTGTTTCGGTAACGATTTTTCGCCTCTTAGTTCGCAGATCTCTAGACATATAGAAATATATTGTAGTTTGCAAATACGAAGAATTAATGACTTCTTTGTGTATTGAGATTCTTCATTGAGTACTTGAAGGAATACCGGAAAGGTTCTATGCCACTGAGAGCGAACTTTCGTTGAAAGAAGAGCTGAAAAACCCGTCAAGTCAAATGAGCTGCTCGGCCCTACGGTGACGAAGGATGGTTGTTGTCCCATCTAAACAGAGAAGGATACTTGGTGACCCCGGTCATTCATAATGGTTTTTATATCAAAAAATGCGCCTTTTTATGTTGATTCGAATACTGTTTTCCATATCTGCGATACGAGAACCTAGGTGGAGATATCATTATTTTTTCAAATGAATTGCCCTAATGCGGAGGGTGAAAATCATTAATAAGTTCTTCTTTCCTCTTCAAGTGCTGAATATGATTGAGATAGGTATAAATACAACGTACACCTCTCAAGATTTTCCTCACTAACTTCAAACGGTAAAACGAAATTGGGTGATTTCAACTACCTAAAAGTACGCAACTTTTTTTTACGAAAAAAGTTCATAACTGCCTTCATATGATCGTTTAGATTTCGAGCACACATTTAGTATCAGCGTTTCAAGGTGCACCTTATGGTATACATTTGATATACATCACATACCAAATGGCCGGAGTCACCAAGTATTCTTTCCTTGTAAGATAAAATGAAGTTAGTCCTATGGCAAGTCTGCAGAAGAAAGGCGTCGGAAAATTTATAACGTCACAGGCTATTTCACTTAACTACTTATTTTTATTCACTTTCTTGTTGTTTTCACTTCCTTGCTCATTTTTTTATTTTGCTAACCAACAACTTTTTCGTATGCGATTTCTGACCTTTTCGTTAACTCACGATGCCACGGTAAGAAAGCAGGCCCTGAATGCGCTCCTCCATGCCTCACTGAATCTTTGTGAATATATGAGAGTTTGTCGTATTCACCATTCTGGAAATGTATATGTACTGAGATCAGCAGTGAAATAAGATTTCGAGAATTGGTAAACCGCTCTTTTGAGCTCACAAAACATGGTTATTAAGCCGAAGAATGCTTTCGTTTTGCGCTACTCTATTCTTGTAATTTGCAATAACTTTCCTTCACTACAAAAACTAGCCAGCGAGAAAGTGATAGCTCAGTTGTAAAAATGATTGGGAATGGAGCACATCTCACGAACTTGCTTTAGCGTTCTTACAGCGGCGTGATAACGTTGTCGTTCATCGTCGGACATCATACGGTATTCCTTTCTAGAAAGAGAGTACTATAGAAAAATACTCCGCTATAGAAAAGACTCTAACCGACTTGCAACAAAATTCACCTTACTGCTTTTCCCAACATCATCCCATTGGGTAGCGAACACTGACCATTGGGAGCTACGGTACCTACAATCAAAAAATTGAATGAACTTGTGAAGCCGATATGATTTTTATTTTTATTTGATTCATACCTCTCAGATAAGTGCAAAGACATTGAAGATCCATGCATTGATAAATGCTACTTGCTATAGGAGCAAATTCTGCTGCTACCGCTTTGCCAATTCCCGCGACTCCTGGCGGCAGGGCTATTTTCTTCTTACTTGCTGTCTTCTGTTAAAAAAATAACATTAGGCGGCGATACCGATCACAGCGATTAGGATTGCTACGCTTGTTCACTATTCTTCATATACGCTATTTGTGTAAGTAAGATCTGGTATGCTTGCATCAACACACGAAAGCTTTCAAACCGCGCGGGTGGATTCGTAGACATCTGTCGAGTTGTCAAATCGAGTGTCGCTGTTGGGATCGCTACTGTAAGCAGTGGCGGACCGAGGGCCCCCCCCCACCCGAGAATGGGTCACGAAATTTTTGAAACTTACCTACATGGGTTATAAAAATGTGCAAATGACTTGTTTATTTTTGTAAACAATTTAAATAATCTTTGAAATTTTTTAAAAATTCAAATTAGCCTTGAAAAAAAATTTTTTTCGGGGCGTGGCTGAGCCAAGCCCCCTTTTTCTAGATTTTAGGGGTCTAGGGCCCGAAAAAATTTTAAGAAGCACCCAAAAATTTTTCCGCGCCCCCCCCCCCCTCGAACGGAAATCCTGGGACCGCCACTGTCGCTAAGGTATAATTGATGCAGTAGGCCTAAGGCGTATTTCACACGATTTAAAAGCACCGTACCACCACATTTTCAACTTTCATGTTTTGATCGTTCCGGGGCCTTCTCTGTCCCTGATTCCAAATGTGAAGTCGAAAATCCGCGAAAAACCCAACATTGCCTATTCCAGAGAACTTGCAGGCCGGCTTTCGAAACCGTGATTGGCTGGACGCGCTCGGTTGGGCGGGCATAGATGGGGAGGGCGGTGCCCTCTGGAGGTCCTCGTGCATCTTTGTTATTCCGGAGCAATTTTCTCGCTTCCGAAGCGACATTTTGCGCAGCGACTTGGGCATTGGCTTGATAAGGGACCCTACTAACATATGCTGCCAAAAGCTCAGGATGTTCAACTTGGGGTGGACGGTGCCTTTAGGTCGCTGCGCGATCTGGCACTGCAGAAACTCTTCTTAATTTGTCGAAAGCGATCTTTGCTTGGGCTAGACTTGCTGCTTTTGCAACAACTTACGAGAGCTACGCGCTTATGCCTTTGAAACTTGCGAATGGTTGGTCTACAGACATCTGGCAAATCGCCAAATCGCGTGGACTCAACGATTCAACAGAATCGCGCGAAGTATGCCTTGGACTTAGGGTCGCACGCATTAATATCCCCGCTGAAAAGGTCGCAGCTTACGAGGGAAGGATACTAACTTAGATTCGCCTTTTGAGATGGGACACATATATTTGGAATCATTTTTGAACGCTAATTCCAAATATTCTATTCGTAGCTGCATAGCGTAATTCCGAAGTGAGTTATGGGCTTGCTGTTGTGAGTAAATAACAAGCTTCTGAATGTGAGAAGACGGCGTTAGATAAGAATCTGCTCGATAAAAGTGCTAGATTGTTAGGCTAGCATCAGATTAATTCTTTCGATCTTGAAAGGGAGCATTATACAATCGCAAAACCACCTAGACCGACGCCGTAGCATCCGTAACTCGAGGAGCACGCAAACTTTGTATAGAAAAAAGACCATAACTCGCTTTAGAATAAAGCTAAGCAGCTAGGAACAGCATATTTGGAATCAGCGTTCCAAGCTGATTCCAAATATATGTATCTCATCTGAAAAAGCGAACTAATTTAGTATCTTTTCCTTGTTGGAGGAAAGCTTCGAACCCTGAAGCTCCAGATATCCGGACTTCACGTTGTCCATCTATCCGTAATTATTCCTACTACTCTTCGCTATAAACACGTTGAATAGGAGAGAGGACTTGCACAAGCCGCAACAGTTTCCAGCTTTTTGTTAGTGCACGTGGAGAAATTGGGCTGCTTTCTGCATGTGGAGAAATCGGGCTACTTTGCTTCAGTGGGCTTTACCGAACTTAAAATACTGCCGTGCGGGGCTATAATGTAGTGTTTGGTGTCGAAGATCCGAATACATTTATTCCCAAATCTTCGGATATGAACTATGTTACAAATAAGGTCCACTCACAAACCATATGGTCAGGAGCGGCAGTGCTTGAATATGGGCCGATTATGAGGGTCCAGCGAACTGGTACACTTGAGGGGAGGGCGAAACTTGAGTTGGATGCATGCCCATACGGCGATATGGGCTCTTCTTACACAAGCACAGATTCATAAACTTGTCTCTCAGAATATGTTTCAAGGGAAAATAATTATAAATGATATGATGCGTTACGAAAGGCGAAACAAAACTTGACTTGAGAATATGTACAAATGACCAGTTTACTAAATGACTCATCAAACAAATAACTTGACATGATCAACCAAATGGTATGATATTCATAGTCAAAAAAACATTCCAAAGTTGTACTGATTATTTAATCTAACAGTGCTAAGCGTGTTCCTGATAAGGGCAATTGAGTTATTGAGATATCAACTTTCGACGAACCCCAAACTTCGACTTGTATAGCCGATCATGACTTCGATATAACATTTGTTCTTATCGGAAACGTGCTTAGAACTGTTTGATAATCAGCGAAACTTTCGCACGTTTTCATCAACTTCGAAGGAAGAAAATTACTTTGAAGAGAGGACGGTCGGGCGCAAGGGATCATCAGGGGATCATACAGAAAGCTGGAAAATGCGGCTTGTACAGCTTCTTGCTCCTGTCCAATATCTTTGTAGTGAAGGATAGTAGGAATACTAGGTTGTTCAAAAGTTCTGTCCGATTTGCGATTTTTCGATATAAACTCTCATAACTTTTTTCAAATTCAACAATTTTGAACAAACTAAACTTTACTGGACTGAGCGAGTTTATGGCTATCACGAGTACAATATGCCATTGTAGGACAAGCTAGAGAGAAAAGAAAATTCTCACAATTCTGCAAGGTTTTCTTCATAACCGTCCAGTTTGACTTACTAATGCTCCAATATGGAGATGGGCAGACATATTTGGCTGCCATCATTAACACATTGACAACCGCTTGACATACATAGTGTGTCAAGCAATGACTACCGCGTGGGACCGCTTGACACACCATGTTGTCAAGGCTTGTATTTTGTTGAAATCACTACTATCCTGGGATGAACTCACTCTATAAGCTTTCTTTTGCACGGAATCTATGGATGGCTTCTACCTTTTTTGTCAGCCTTTTAGATTTACTGTAGGTGTACTGTGGATGGCAGTATGCATGATTATAGCTGCAAAATGTGGGCTGGTCCGTAAATGGCCTTGGTCCCAGAAGGCAGACAACTAAAAATCTGCATGGTCGTCAATGTGTTATGTAGCCTATACTTCAGAGATTTTTTGCGGCTAAAGATAGGCCGCTAGTAAACCCCCATTCATCTCAGGTGACTTGAGATGAATCATTCAAAAGAACTTCCTCGGGTGACAATAATCCCGCCCACCTTCCCGTGCTTTAGGATAGTCAGTTCAACAGTCAGAAGATTGTCTGGTCAAGTGTCACAGTCAGTTCACCAGAACGCCACTTATCCGAGGTTGAATTTTAGGGTGACCCGAGAGAAATAGTGTGCTTAAGAGGAGGATCAGACAAATTTCCCGTAAGTTGCTCGTGAGTAACTTACGGGACAATCTAGCCCACGTATTCTTGCGGTGCAAAACTCCCAAAATTGCACGTTTTCGGCGGCCTAAATGGGAGAGGATCGATGAACAGCTGATTGCGGCGAAAAAACGAGAAAACAGGATTTTTTGGATTTCTTCTTTTTTTCAAAGCTTGACTGCGTTTTTCCTTCAAAAACTGCTTGAAACAAGGATTTTTGATTTTTTTCAGCTTGCTCTATGTTCAAAAATTCTCGTTTTCTATGAATTTCTTGCCAAAATGTGGTAGTTTTGTTTTATCCATCGTTCGCTTGGCGATATCTTTGACAGCGGTCGCCATCGATTTTTCTCGATAGCGGGCGCTATCAAAGATTGTCCTGCGCTGGCGCAAAAATCTGCCACTAGCCGGCTTTGAACCATGGACATTCTCATTGAAACCCATGCACTCAGCCTCTCGACCACACCACTCAAGGGTGTTGATTTTTTGAGAACGCACAAGATTTTTGGGTGTGAAAAGCGATCCGAATCCGGATCGATGGCTCACCGGATGCCGGACTGAGGCGCTCTACGTTCAACGTAGGCCCGCCCCCAGCAGAGTTGGGCTGAGAGGGGGTTTACTACGGGCCAGAATTTGAGTTGTCTTTGCTGCCTAGAAATTTTTACGAGCAAATCAAAGAAACTCATTGTAAGAGCCCTCATCCGCGCGCGAAATGCCGACTTTCTGATATTTGATTATTTCTTGCTGTCGGAAAGGAAGAAATCCAATTGGCCGATAGTCTCGCTTGCCCCCCCCCTTTTTTAACACATGCAGTGTTCAATGCATCACCTGTCGCTATATGTAGATTGTTGACGCTTGTTGAATAACTGAGTATGTCTTTTTTCTTTGAAAAAATATTGAAAAAGTAAGACATTCTTTACACCGGAGAAAAAGTGTGCTTATGTTAGTCCATTGCACCCTCACCCACTGTAAAATATTACATATTCAGTTTTACGAATACTGTGGACTGCGGAAATCCTCTTCATGAAAACTTTTTTGGGCATGACTGCATTTTGGAAACTCTGCTTCGGGGCTTCAAATTCTATCACTGGGAGACTGATTCGCCAAGAGTCAGCGAGCGCTACAAAGAGCAGGAAAAGTGCTTCTAGAAGAAGTTTATAGCACTGCCATAAGTGCAAAATCCTAAGAAAAAAGCTGCGTCAAAACAAGGCAACTGAAAATCGGACAGAACTTTGAAACAGCCTAGTACTTACGGACAGGTAGATGGCGTGAAATCCATCTATCCATCTTTATGATATAAAGCTTTCTTTTGAGCTGCGATCCCCTCCCCGGCGGGGATGTTAATGCATGCGGCCCTCATTGTCAGTATCTCATCATACCCTAGTGCTAGTCTTGACGGCTCTCGCGTTGATTCTTTGTAGTCTCATATGATAGTGCAGGGCAGGTGAGGCGCATGCAGCCAAACCAAGCTGAACTCAAAAGGCAGGAACAGCTTCCCATACAACTGACCAATCGCAACTCCAAGGGCAAGACACGCTAGCTCTTTAGTCCGTGATTGGCTGATATTTTATGAGCTTACCTATCTACTCGGAATTCTGCAGAAACTGAAAAACTATTCGACACTGCTAAGAATTCTAAGGCCTTTTAATCCTAAAATTCAGGTGGGGTATTCAAAAGTAAAGATATGCTTGGTCTGCTTCTGAAGTGCCGTACTCTCAAACCGAAACTGAGAGTCGTCTAAAGATTACGTATACATAGTTCCTGTTCGGCCATGTGCTACACTTTGTGCTTCGAGAATGGGCTTCGAAAATGCTTACATATTTTTCTTACTGATATCTGATATTTTTCTTACTCATATCTTCGCTTGTATATATGCACGGCGGTGGTACAAGACGACATAGTTTAACGTACATTCTACTTTTCCCATCGTATTTTTTGTGCTCTTTTCTCTCCTCCAGTTATCGCTCTCGTGCCCATTCGGTTGACACAGGGGTCGCAGTTACCCAAGCACAGAACTCAGAACCTACTACTGGTTCCGTAAAGAACATTCACACCAGTGGCGGAAAGAGGCCATTCTCGGGGGCCCCCGAGAATGGGTCGCGAAATTTTTGAAATTTACCTACGTAGGTTATAAAAATGTGTGAGTGACTTGTTTATTCTTGTAAATAATTAAAACAATTTTCAGAATTTTTTTAAAAATTCAAGTTAGCCTTGCAAAAAAATTTTTTTGGGGGCGTGGAATCGCAAAAATTTTGAGAAGCACCCCTGTCTAACGCCCTCCTCCCACCCCCCCCCCCTCGAAATCCTGGGACCGCCATTGCTTCACAGGAAGGATTATCAACTCCTTGCCACGAGCCAAAAAATTGGCATGTTGCCTACACGTTGAACAGAGTTTATCAACATTTTGTCCAGCCCACCTTCGAATGTTATTTTGAGTTTTAATCAACAATGGCTTCATTTTTATTTAACAGCTTCAAAATTGATCATTAACATTATAAGAATAAGCCCTGTATTCGTTGTATACAGTAGAATTGCCCAAAACAGAATGGTTGGCTCTTGTTCTATCATCTGAGCAGCGCAACAATCGGCAGCCAGGTACTTTGAGCCATCATTTATGTCTTTCTTGGCATTCTCATGGCGGAAACAATTCAGAAGTGACAATTTCAAATCACTGCTGAAAGCGAGTAAGATGTTCTATTAAAAAATTTGGATTGATTTGCTTTTACAAAAAGCTGCTAGCTTTGGAGGCATTCAAATTGCTCACGCACCTCAAATAATTTTGTTAAAGACATGTCGAACTAAGCCTAAGCATGTTGATATTTATTTTGACACGTGGCAAAATGACAGTCCTCGTAGGATCTATGGGAAATGTTTTCTAGATTAAAGACGTATTCCATGGAAACGTTTTGAAAAAAATGGGTCCGGATAAACAGCAAAAGTACCTGAAATTCTATAGAGTAGCATTTAGTGTGAAGCGCAGCTTAGACTGATAGTGTGGAGTAATCGGGGACTACTCCTCATTAGTGTAGGTTTGCGGTAGGAACATTTCAAGAAAGCTTATTGGGCGCAACCTTGACTGAAAATATTTTTAGGGGCTGAGAATCTTGTTGCTAAGTGAACAAAGTTGCTGATCTCATCACACCATATTTACGGCTTGACAATTTTAATAAAGTTAATTTGCTAGAATCAGCGCCTCCAACCCCACCGCAACAGTTTCGGTGTTTTGAGATTTTCCGAAATTGTAGCTAATTCTCAACACTCTATTATGCTGGAAGTTCCTACAGTAATCCTACAACCACGGAGTCATAGATGCTTTGCTTCATACCATAAAAGTTAGAGCCAGCTCCACGAAATCTTACTTTAAGATGAGCGAGACATCAGGGCAAGAGAGATATTTAGCTCAAACGGTAGGCACATTTTCAGAAACCCTGTATCATCGCGCAACTGTATTTCGATTTTGACTCAGTTGTTCTCAGGCTGGTTTCACTAAGACTACACTAACTTTCGCACGTGCGGCCGAAATCATCACGGTCTTTGTACGTGCTTTAGCAGGTGAGACATTCATAACATAGGGTCATTACTGGTGACCGGTTCTTGACGCAATAATGTGCCTGGCACAGTTCTCCGCAGCGTATTGGCGAAAAAAATGATTTTCACGCATCCATCGCTGCATGACATTACCGTTATCAAAAAGCTCTTCTATTCTCCTAACGAAAAAACTTCTCTAGCGCGTGAGGAGACACCTAATTTTCCGAGCTCTTGAAAGTAGGAAACCTGATACACCTACTCTTGCTTCTTCATCCCACTTGTGTAGCTGAACGCAGAATGCCTTAACAGCGGCAGTGGGCGCAGCATCGCATGGACCCTCGAGCTTCGCTTCTGCGGCAATAAAAACTGCGAGAAGCCAGAAGAGGACCATTTTCCCTGAAAAGTGGAAGTGAGTTAAAAGTATGGAGCACAAGAAGAATGGCACGGAAAACATGATAAAGTATCTTGAATTGCTCATTTAGCAATCTCGGCAAAACTTCTTAACCAACAACGATGCATTCTAAAGGGATTACTACTATAGTGCAGAAATTGCTGACAGCTGATTTTTACCCTGGAGGCGTGATGAAGTTCAAGAAAGTCGATTCTTTCCACAAAGTACATAGATAACCGCAAAAGTACAGCGTAAACAAACATGCGGTTCCACTAAACCACTTTTTCTAGATGACAATCGTCGATATTTTACTTTTTACAGCAGAGAGGCGCAATGCGCAAAAATCGACATTTTGTGTGTTCGTTGTATGTCACATTGCAGTGTCGCTTTGCTTTTGCCGTGCTTGAAAAACCCTTTCTCAAAATTACGGAGTAGAGAAAGGTGGAGTGAGCAAGGTGGTCTATGTGGACATCGAAATACTACTTCAAAGGCGAGAAATCTGCAGAAGATCGGTCCTACCGCTTTCATCAGTCATACTAATCGAGCCACAAAAGCGTGTTCAATTATCGGAATCATTATATTGAATAATCATTATTTAATCATCGAAATCATTATATTCCTCACTACACATTAAATGAATTTAGTGCTACATTCCGTATAAGACTGTGTCTACTTGTTCAACTGAATTCTCCGAGTTTTCTTCTGAGCTGTCCAACGCTCCGGAGAGAAGGAAGCAGCTCTATCCCTTTCTAATGTTTTGAATTTTTTGTTGACCCATCCACGAGTGGCTCCATCAGTATCTAATATAATAGTGGTTAACCAGCATCGGTTGTGGGGATTAGGCCATCCTATGTGTAGAATTACGGTCAGAAGCATTGACTTGTTTTCTTTATTTTTTTGTGCTATGCTCTTCTCTGATTTAGGTGAGACTTTTGCTTAGCCTTCAGCTGCACACACGTATGGAGAGCTTTCCCATTATTTCAGGTAGCACAGCGAGGATCCCACTTGATCGTCCACTTAAATTGGTATTACACACAACACAACATTTTAGCTTTCAATTTTGGAAGTGCAGTTCAGAGCATACTCTAACTTGGAAGTATTGATGAATCACATACGTATCCAGTGCTTCAATGAGTTACTCTGGAATTTTTTTCCATAGTATCATCAAGTTGTTAACTGGCCAAGATATCTGCATGTTTTTGCAAACCTATCGTTAATTTGCCTGAAGCAAATAACTGTGGTGGATTAATCTCCGGATTACTTTTCCATACAACATATGGATACCTTCGCAGCCTATACGGCAACGCTTCTGTTCAATTTGATTTTTGTGACTGCTTACACAGCCTTTAGACGCATAGGAGACTGAAGATTCAGATCCCTCGGATATAAGAAGCAAAATAATTGTGGTGGCTTGCGGTGATTTCCGAGGTTCAAGATCCAGATCTCTCGGATATATGGATCATCGCGTTCTACAGTACTCCCCCCCTTCCCTCCCTCTCTCTCTTGAAAGGGAAAGCTACAGGTCGACGATGTGGCCGAAGACCGGTAGCGAAAGAGATACCTTCGGTTTTAGGATTGAAAACATGTTGAACCACTTCTCTCTTACAGTGGTTTTTAGTGGATATGGGACTGTCTTGAAAGTCGGAAAGTCACAGGTCGACGATGTGGCCGAGTGGAAGAGATACATTCGGTTTTAGGGTTGAAAACACATAACCACTTAGGTTATTTCTTACTCAAGAGCGGTGAGCATGGCTTACTCGGTTAGCCACGCGCCAAAAATGATTACGAGTAATTAATCAGGCCAGCCGCTCCGATTGGGAGGCACTGTACGGAGTTAGTCGATGCTCCTCAGGGCCTGCGCAAAGCCGCCAGCCATTCTCATTCATTTTGGTAATGTTTGCATCATGTGCTTCAAGTCCCAAGTTTTGGTCCTTACATGAACAGGACTTTGGTGCATTTCAATATGTCCCAAGTCAGGCCAAGTAGCAGAAAGCTTTAGACTGCACAATTGAAATGCATGGTCAAACTACATCGGCAGAGTACTTTTGCAGGTAAGTATCGCCGAGTCATTTGTAACTTATGCGTATTGAACCCTATACACGCTAACTGACGAACTGTAAAACTAGAACCTCCTCTTTTTCAGCGATTTCTCCTTTTTTTCTTGTTTCTTCTGTTCAAGTTGATTATATGATAGTCATTAGAACACATTTCTACATTTAGGCTAGAAAATGATTTAATGAAAAGTTACTAGTATGAGTGCCGTCACCAATAGGGTTTAGTGTGCAATCTCACATATTAAGTTACAAATGACTCGAGGTTAGAAATCATATCACGGATGAGGAATACCGTGTTATGAGCAATAGGTGCAGCATAGTCAAAGAGAAGAGATTTAGAGGAACATATGACAGACAGTAGGAAATGCCTATAGTTTAAGTCTTGCCGGAACCGGTGTGTGACTTGCAGAGGGTGAGAGGTAGCCTTTTGCACTACTATACTTAAAGGCAGTGTCCAGGCTAAACATAACCTCCTCCGATTAGTGTCGATCCTGAATGTAGGCCCCAGAAAAGGGGCATCTGCGTTGGTCCGGTCTTCTAATGTTGTCTCTGAATGGAGATAAGGGGCCTGAAAGTCCCTGGCTGGGCGGAGTCTGATATCAGACTCTGCCCAGCCAGGGACTTTCAGGCCCCTTATCCTTACCCCTTATATATGACTCTGCTCACTACCTTGTCAATACGTGCCTCCCGACACGTATTGACAAGGTAGTGAGCAGAAGCTGCACACTGCACACTGTAATGCAACTGCACCCATGCAGTTGCAGCTCCTTCCCGGTGGCCTGCCGACGGGGACGAGCAATTCGAAACTCGTCCGCGCCCTTAAGACTGGGTTCCCAATAATCGGGTTTTTTGTATATTTTAAGTATGAAGTTCGGAACTGTAATCAGGGCCAGGGAAAGGCCCCAGAATGACGAAAACATAGGAGGCCAAATTCTGGGTGGACGCTGCCTTAAGCACACTGCCTGACTTGCTTTAACACGTCCTCAGACAGTCGACGGCATACCTCCGGAGCAGAAATGGCAGGGCCGCGGGCTCTGCCCAGCGGGGGATTGCCGCTCTTGCTCTGGAGCCCTCCCATTTTGTGCTCCGGAGGTGTCCCAAATCTAGCGTACCTCCGAAGCAGAGATTTGCAAGCCCGCCGGAAGGGTTGCATCCGCCTTCTTGTGACGCCACCGTGACATCACAAGATGGGATTCCCCCCCCCTCGCCCCGCCTCCTCAATGGTTGAGAAGCCCCTCCGCAGCTCTGCCAGTTTTCGACTGTCCTCCGGAGCTACGGCACCGACTGTCTGAGTCAAATCTTCCATCTCCTTCATAAGCAAAAGTGATGCAGAGTGTGTCTCGCACGAGCGCGGCTTCTATGAAAAATTCTCGCAATAGGTCGTGCAAATCGGCTTAAGCCTCTAAATCTAGTTATAATAAAAGCTACGTTATTAGGCTTTGAGCACACTTATGAAAACAATACGAGACTGATCTCTTCCAGTCATTCATAAATTCGAGAAAGTGATCAAAAATGCGTCATACGCTTGAAAGCTATGTGCTTTGAAGAAGCGGATAGTTGAAAGCAGTCTTGGTGATGGATAAATCAGATAAAATAGACACAAAGTCTTCAGTGAGTGAAAGAAGAACTACATGAGATGAAATATGTTCGAATTATCTTAAGATATTATATTTTACATTTTGTCATACTGCCGTCTATGCTAAGGTACCAACTTCTCATGCTGCCTCTTGCCAAGAGGCTTTTAGAAGTGAAGAACTGGGGCAAAAAGCGTTAATGAAATTATCTTTTTTCGTACTTCAGGACTGAAAGCGCCGACCCTATCGCTGCTTGACATATCTTCCAATCCGGATAACTTCTGATCAGGTGGTGGCAATGGTGAGCGCAAGGGAAGGGGGGGGGGCTACTTTGAACTCTAAAAATCGCTTACAAATTTTTTGATTTTTGTCTACATGTATTACAAGAATGTGCAAGCAGCTAGTTTTTGTTATAAATGGTTAGAAATTTTTTATGAAATTTTCTAAACATAACCTTGTACGTCATACCTCCACATCTAAAAAAATGTCACTTCCCCTCAACAAGAAAAATTCTGATAGATGAAAGGTGTAGATGCGCTTGACTGAAGCGTTTTGTTTCGCCATTAATCGAATCGTTGATTTCCGAAGAAGGAAGTGAAGAAGCAATAGATTGTTGGTGAAGACTACAACCATACAGTTCAAAAGATAGGTAGCGAATGACAAGCAACCGTTCTTGATTGTTCAAGTTCGTGATAATTTCAGTGACATAACCCGAATGTCCGCAAACCTGTTCGTGAAAAGCAAAAAAAACTGAAGTTGTAAAGCAGCACTGCTCGTAAAGCACCTGCGACCGCATGTGCCAAACATCAAAACAAATAATCCAGTTTGTTAAGCAAGCAACTATTATTACTATCATGACACCGAACAGCCGAGAAGAAGTCTTTGTTGGGTTATTGTATACATTATTCGTGAGTGGTGCCACATTTCGTGACTCATTTCCTGGATATCAATTACAAGAATTCGCTGAGCACGAAAGATGATTTTTCTTAGAAAAGACGTTCATAGGTTTCGATAGTCACGATTCTGTAATTTCATCTCGTACATCAGCAGCATCTGCAGTTTTGCACATATAACGGGCTACAAAATTGCTTGGTGGCAAATGTAATCGTGAGAACCAAGATTTTTCTTCTATGACACTTACTCGCATCGCCGTTCAGTTTTTGTAACAAAAGGAGATAGGAACTGCCGCAATAAGTAAATTCCTAATAATCGAGCTTTAATTCTGTTAGGTCGTTCCATAAGTTCATAGCGTTTTTTCTTGTCGCCGTTCTCTGTTGAAGCACTCGGTTGGTTTACGGCAAAGTATCTGGTATTATTTGAGAGAGCCAAACTTGCTCTACGAAACCTGCCTTTTATTTTCGAAGCATTACTAATGGTCTTT